AGGCACAAAAACACACCAAAAGAGGTGTCATAAAAACGTAATCAGACAGAATGGGCTTTTTGACTGAATATAAATAATTTCCAATCTCTCTTTCACAATTTGAGCAAAATACTCCATTTCACAGAGAAGACTCTTTGTTGCACTTAAAGTAAATATGTAGCATTTTATTCTGTATAGCATAAAGTCCACTTATAAATTACAGACAGCTAAAACAGACTATAAGTAACATAAGCTTATAGAGCCCCAGTAGGATGTAAAAAGAAACAATATACTGACTTCTTGACTTTTACCTGGGATTTGATGGCAAGTTTTAAAAAGGTGAGTGGTAAAAGTGTCTAATGTCCTTCATTATGAATGCATCAATAGCCAGCAGACTGGGACATAATTTATAAAAAAAGATGATTTTAAACCAAAATAACCTAGATTATAACAAAACAAAAACTCAAACAGAAGATAAGAACACTTTTCAGTTACATGCAACCAAAATTCCATTATCCAAATTAAAGTAATATCCCTATTAGTGATGATATATATATATATATAGAGAGAGAGAGAGAGAGAGACAAAACTATCATCATAAAATATGGCCAGAAGAAATATAAAAATGTCCTTAAGTTCTCCAAACTTGGTTCTAGAAAATATAACTCCCAGGGTAAATTTCATATCCAATGAAACACAACTAGACGTTCTTCATGTGAATTGCCAGCAAACTACCTCTAATCGTTCACTTTACTTTTCCACGGCCTGCAGTACTAGGTGTACTGTTCAGAAATCACTACAAAAGGTACAAGAACTTACAGACAAACATTTGCAAAAAAAAAAAAAAAAAAATGGACATGACTGCCTACTGTATTGACAGTTTCTTCCTATGTATTCTCCCGGGAATTCACAGGAATAGTTGGCAACCAGGTCTGTGCAAATTCCCCCGTTCTTACATGGATCCCTTTTATATTCGTTAATATCTAGAATAGACGAGACACATAAAAAATAAATAAATGAATAAAAAGAATGAAAGCTTTGATAAGGACTTGGACAATTACAAAGAACCTCATCCTGATTAAAATGCTTTAGCTGTTAGCGAATATCAGATTTTCCCTGTGAGGCTCAAACAAAGACACAGCTTCCCTGAAAACTAATAAATCAAAAGCTCTGGAGAACATTCATGCTGCAACACAGACTTAGCACAGATTCTGGTGTAAGGAACAAAAACAACCTGTGGAACCCTTCCTGTGGTTTTTAACAAATATTTTCTGACGTGTACTGTTTTGTTCTTGCAACGGTCTGTGAGGAGTTTGTGTTAAGACATTGTACAAGAGCTCTTGTTAAAAGTTTGATAATATCAGAGCACCCCTCCTTGAATCGCAACCTTAACGTGGTGGAGGGGTTTGAGTACCCGAATGAACCTAGGAGCTATGTTCTCGGGGGCTTAACGCCCCTGGTAGGGTCTCCCAAGGCAAACAGGTCCTAGGCGACGGATCAGACAAATAACGGTTCAAACCCCCCCCTTGATGAAGAAAATGAATCAATCAAAGAGGTTCACGTCGCCCGGATTGACGTCACCGGGGCCCCACCCTGGAGCCAGGCCCGGGGTTGGGGCTCGCAGGCGAGCGCCTGGTGGCCGGGTCCTTGCTCACGGGCCCAGCCCGAACAAGCGACGTGAGTCTGCTTTCTAGTGGGCCTACCACCCGCAGGAAGTCCCACAAGGGGCCGGTGCCTTGTGATTTGGGTGGCGGTTGTGGGTGGAGACCCCGACGGCCCAATCCCTGGACAACCACTCTGGCTATGGGGACATGGAATGTCACCACTCTGGGGGGAAAAGAGTCTGAGCTTGTGCGGGAGGTTGAACGATACCGACTAGATATAGACGGGCTCACCTCCACACACAGTCTGGGTTCTGGGACCGAACTCCTTGAGAGAGGCTGGACTCTTTTCTACTCTGGAGTTACTCGTGGTGAGAGACGGCGTGCTGGCGTAAGCTTACTTATAGCTACCCAGCTTGCCAGTCATGTGTTGGAGTTCTCCCCACTGAGCGAGAGGGTCGCTTCCCTGCGCCTTCGGGTCAGGGACAGGTGCCTCACTGTTGTTTCGGCCTACGGGCCGAATAGCAGTGTAGAATAGAGTAGAGTAGGGCTTTATTCATCCCCCTTGGGGGAAACATACTAGTACAGTAGCCAGTGGCAGTGCAGAAAAAGAGAGAAGAGGAGTTAACACAATAAATAGAGTAAAAAGAACTAAAAAGCAAAAAGCACTCTAAAATTAAAGTAAA